TCCCACAGCATTCCCGACAGCCTCAGGATTGCCACTTCTTGATCAATCAGGCCCTGCACTGACACTGCAAGAGGACACAGCAAAAGGGTCGTAGTGGCTTCATCCCTTGGTTGTGTGGCTTTGTCTGATAGATCAGGGAGCTGATGAGACAGAGCTCAGAGTCAGCTCTACATGGAGGACAACTATTATTGAATTCACCATAGAGCCTGAACATAGAGGATAGCCAGTAGAATCCAGACTGATTTTATTTGATTATCTATTTTTTCTTCTGTAACCATTCTTAATTTCGCATATAACCCCATTTTTTCCCTCATGGTGCATCAAGGAAGCCAAGTAAGAGATTTCACGATACAAATTCCCTCTGAGTAAGCAACATAATGCATCTTACTGCCTACATGCAAAAGCACAGCATATAAAAAGTATTTCCAGCAATATTACTCTTCAGAATCTTATTGGTGAACAACCAAATGAGAAATTCAGCAACTTATGCAGTTCCCAGATTTTAGCAGTTTGTTTGACTCTAGGGGGAAGAAGGTGGGGCTGGCGCTATCCCTGCAGGCCTAGAATTAGTGACTTCAGGCTCAGACATCTCTCCTGCACTGTCTTTGTTTTTGGTGGTGTTCTTGAGTTTCACTTGGTGGGGAGAGAAAAGCCTCATGCTGATAATGTACTGAAAGTAAATGAAATTAAATAAGCGAAGCAGTGCTCATCACTACTTCCTCCCCCCTGGGTAATTCAATTCAAGCTCTGTCTCTGATGGCAACTCACAGGGGCTGTCTCTGTCACCCCGCTGGGGCCTGGAGTCTTAACATCTAAATAAAAGTTTCACTCAAGCATTTTTTATGCTCCTGCCAGCAGGATCAGTGAGCTGGTGTGGGCACTTTAATGTAATATTCATACTCATAGACTCTCCCCGCACACAAGGCAATGTCTTTCCATTTTCATAATTATAGATGTTCCATAAAATGGCATTTAGATTTGCATTAAAAAAAGGAGGCTGGAATTCTAATAGAACGTTTAACGTATCTTTTATGATTCAGACTCTTGTGTCTTTAACAAGTAACCGTGTCTCTAAGCTTAACAAGACCTTTAAAAAAAAATTGTGGGAAGAAGAGATGGAAACTTCATCCTCTAGCTCCTTGTCTTCCTTTTCATTTGAAGCCTCCAGGAGCAGTTTTTTGGACAACACTTCAGATAAGACGCTCCTTTAGATGGTATATGAGTTACTTCACTGCTGCTGTGACAAAACATCATGACCAAAAGGGACTTATGGAAGAAATAGTTTATTTGGGCTTATGGTTCCAGGATAGGAGTTTGTCACGGTGGGAGGCTTGGCGGCAAGCAGCAAGCACGGTAGCAGAAACAGGAAGCCGAGGGCTGGCATCTTCAACTGCAAACATAAAGCAAAGAGAAAAAATTGGAAATAGAACAAGGCTCTGAACCCTCAAAGCCCACCCCAGTGACTTGCTTCCCCCAGCAAGGCTGTACCTCCTAAAGGTTCCGTGACCTCCCCCAAACAGCACCACCAACTGGGGACCAAATATTCAAATACTTGAGCCTCCTGGGGACACTTCTCATTCAAACCCCCACAATGAGCCTTCTCTTCATCCCTGGTCCTCATCTCCAATGACCTTCCACCCACAGTAGAATTGCTACCACTTCTTAGAGCATGTTTTCAAAGGGACACTAGAATGTAGAAAAATGAACTTCCATTTGTTGTGGTTCATCTCAGACATACACCCCAAGACCGCTCTGAAAGGAATTATGACGAACACATTATTTACTAACTATAAAATATACAAATGAAAACAACCTATGAACAGGATGCAAGGAAATTGACAGTAAGAGCTAACTGGATAAAGAACCAAGCACATAAACACCCCAAAGAGAAATGAACTCCTGTTATCTCTGGGGTTTTTTATTTTTATTTATTTTTATTTGTATTGGTGGTACACATAAACACAAATGCCAGCAGAGGCCAAAGGCATCAGATACCCCTGAAGCTGGAATAACAGGCAGTTGTAAACTGCCCAGCAAGTGTTGGGAACCAAATTCAGGTCCTCTGCAAGAATAGTACAAGCTCTTAACCACTGCGCCATCTCTCCAGTCCCTGGTCTATGTTTTTAAAACTATGCTTGAAGCATTGGTGGTACACATAAACACAAATGCCAGCAGAGGCCAAAGGCATCAGATACCCCTGAAGCTGGAATAACAGGCAGTTGTAAACTGCCCAGCAAGTGTTGGGAACCAAATTCAGGTCCTCTGCAAGAATAGTACAAGCTCTTAACCACTGCGCCATCTCTCCAGTCCCTGGTCTATGTTTTTAAAACTATGCTTGAAGCCAGGTGTCGTAGTATACACCTTTAATTCCAGCACTTGGGAGGCAGAGGCAGGAGGATCTCTGTGAGATGGAGGTCAGCCTGGTCTATATAATGAGTTCCAGGACAGCTGGGGCTAAGGGAAATCCTGTCTCAAAAACCAAACCAAACCAAACAAAAACAGCTATGCTTGAAACAGCTTGGAAACAAAAGGATCAGCTTAACTGTGAGGTGTTTTTGTGGTGCTAGAAATTTAACTTAGTGCTTCCTCATGCTAGGCAAGCACCCTACCATTGAGCTATATTCCTAGCTAAAAAAGTTATTTAAAAAAAAAACAAACAAACAAGAGGCTGGGAGTGGTGGCACACGCCTTTAATCCCAGCACTCGGGAGGCTGAGGCAGGCAGATCTCTGTGAGTTCAAGGCCAGTCTGGTCTACATAGTGAGTTCCAGGACAACTGGGGCTACAGGTAGACCCTGTCTCAAAAAGACCAAATAAAAAACAAGAAAACAAGAGGGGGCTGGAGAGATGGCTCAGTGGTTAAGAACATTGGTTGTTCTTGCAGAAGACCCAGGTTCAAATCCCAGCACCCACATGGCAGCTAACAACTGTCCGTAACTCCAGTCCTAGGGATCCGACAGCCTCTTCTGACCAATGCGGGCATTGCACAACACAGGTGCACTTACCTGCATGCAGGCAATACATGCATACACATAAATTAAAAATAAATAAAATTTTTAAAAAAAAGAAAGAAATACTGGGCTGGAGAGATGGTTCAGGGCACTGACTGCTCTTACAGAGGACCCAGGTTCAATTCCCAGCACACACATGGCGACTAACAACCATCCATAACTCCAGTTCCAGGGGACCCAGTGCCCCTTCTGGCCTCTGAAGGCACTGTACAACATGGGTACATACATATTCATGCAGGCAAACCACTCCTAGACAAAACATTTTTTTAATTAAAAATAAAATAAAATTTTTAAGTCAGGCTATAAAACATTTGGGTTGGGAAATAAAAAGTAAATATTAAGCTTCTGCTAGCACATTCTTCATTTTTCCTAATCAAGAAATGTAAATTGCTGAACATGGTGGAGCACACTTTAATCCCAGGATTTGGGAGGCAGAGGCAGGCAAATCTCTGAGTTCCAGACCAGCCTGGTCTACATAGCGAGTTCCAGGCCAGCTGGGGCTATAGGGAGACTCTGTCTCAAAAAGAAGCTCCCCAAAAAGAAAGAAATGTAAGTTGGACCAGGGTTGTTGCTTAGTGGTAGAGTATATGCTAGAGAAGAAAGGAGAGGGACGGGGACAGGAGGAGATGGCAGAGGACAGGAAATGTAGAGTTATATTTTTCTAGAGTTTCTGTGGTTCATACCTATAATCCCAGCATTCAGGATGTGGAGACAGGAGGATTATGTGGTCTAGGCCAGTTTAAATAAATAAATGAAGATGGGGGTGTTGTTTTTGTCTTGGTTTATTTTGGTTTTGATTTTTTGAGACAGGGTCTCCCTGTATCCCCAGCTGGCCTGAACTCAAAGTGTAGACCAGATTGACTTTGATCTCAGAGATCAGCCTGCCTCTGCCCCCGCTATGCCACTGCGCCCAGCCCATTTGTTTTTACTTTTGAGGAGTAACCTCTCCTTAGTCTTTTGCCCCTCCTTTCTGTAAAGCCCCAGGCAGGAAGATGAATTAGGAACTTGATTTCCCAATAAATCTATACCTAAGGAAGCTACTGAAAGCCAAGAATGTAACTAGCCTACAGTTAAAGGGTTGATGTCAGTTCTGAGGTCTTCTTTTTTGTTAAGGCTTCTGTGATTCTTAGACTCCCATTCTTTGAAGAAACCAAGATCTGACATTATTGTCAAATTCACCTTGCATGGTCCTTTGTATGAGCTTCATAAAATTTATGTTTGAATTATATTCTGTTTTAAAAAACAAACAGGATGGCTCAGCAGGTAAAGTGCTTATTGTGTAAGCATGAGGATCTGAGTTTGGAGCCCTAGCATCCACATAAAACTTGGGCAAGGTAACATGCATCTATTAACCCAGCATTGAGGGCAGTAGAGCTAGGCAGATCCCCAGAGTTCACTAGCCAGCCAGTCAAGCCAATAGGTGATCTCTAGGCTCAGTGAGTTCCTGCCTCAAAAATAAAGTAGAGAATGACAGAAGATACCCAATGTCAAACTCTGGCCTACATACATGTGTGCATGCACCCAGACACACACATGCACACACATAAATACACACAAACAAAACAGGTATGTGTTCATTGCCCCTCTGAGAGAACAGCATGCATAGTAGGGTCTATTACAGAAGCTTGTCCTTTCTGATAACTGTTCATTTGACTATTTGACTTTTGATTATCTCTGTGTGGATTATCCAATTTACAGCTTGTATCCACTGCAAATTCTTAAGTCCCTGGAGTCCTTTTCCTGCCAATCAGTACATATTTAGGCTATCTCCCCTTGTCACAAGTTAATATATGTTTAGTCATTTTAAGTAATATTAGCATTAGATATAATTAGGAAGAAAATTAGCTTTTCCCCCAATCATATAGAAATTGTTGTCTTTTGTGCTATGTTGAAATAGTTATATTCTCTATCATTAATGTGGATAATCTCAAGTAGCCTAAATGGAAATTCTGTCAGATTTCGACAAAGCCTTTTGTGTTGTTCCTTTTAGGAGTGGAAGATATCATAAGAGGAGCTCAAGAGCTTGAAAACATCATCAAGCAAGGATACTTGGAGAAGAAAAGCAAAGGTATTAATCAGACCCTCAGAGAACAGAACATTCCAGAAAAAAAGAGGGTTAACATATAGGATGGCGTACGGGTACCCAGTACTGTATTAGGAAGATCTAAGGCAAAAACAAAGAAAGGAAAGGAAAGAAGTCTGATGTTAGTGTGCATCAACTAAAGAGAGAAGGCCTGGAGCCAGGCATTGTGTTGTATGCCTTTAATCCCAGTACTCGGAAGGCAAAGGCAGGCAGATCTGTGTGAGTTCAAGGCCAGTCTGGTCTACATAGTGAGTTCCAGGGCAGCTGGGGTACAGGGAGACCCTGTCTCAAAAAGACAAAAAAAAAAAAGGCCCAAACCTTCACAGACTGTGGGCCTCATTCAGACTGGTTCTGCCTCGCTCACATCTGTATCTGCAAAGCAGGTGTTAAATAGTATTTGATGAATGAATGAATGAATGAATGGTATTCTTGTCCTCATCTCTCATTGTGCTGCCTTAAAGAATGATCCTGTTTTTGCCAAGAATGTAATCTTTCTATCATGTGTGAAACAGCCAGTTCCAAATTTCAAGTATGCTCAAGTCTTAACCCTTTAAGTCATTCAGTTAAAATAGGTCCTACATGAACTGGAGGCCTAGGTTCAGTGCTCACTTGGCAAATTTGTTTGGGGGAAAAAAGCTCTTCTCCTGGCCATGGCTTGGAATATCATTTTGATTTATCAGAAGCAACACATAGGCTGGGCATGGTGGCATGCCTTTAATTCTAGCACTTGGGAGTGCTAGAACTTGAGTTCAGGCCAGCCTGGTCTATATAACAAGGCTACTCGGGGCTATATAGTGAGACCCTGTCTCAAACAACAACAACAACAACCACATAAAGAAATGGTGGTAGTCAGGCCCAGTGGTGCATACCTGTAAACACAGCCCTGGGGAGGCTGAGACAAGAGGACAGCCATGAATGTTAGGCCAGCCTGAGCTACACAGGGACACCTCTCTGCAGAAACAAAAAATGAGCAACAACAAAAAAAGATATGGAGAGTTTGAAAAATGCAGGATGAAATTAGATCCTGAATGATATAAAGGAAGCTAGATTAAAAAAAAAAAAAGCTGTGAGGGCACAGAGCGAGCCACCCCACTCAGAACTTGGACCTGTAATAGAGCTTGTCCTGTCAGCTCAGTCAATATGGGATAACCTGTGGGAGTGAATGGGAGGGTTTTACAGTCCATTAACCTGGGAAATAAAACAATAACACACTGGACTCTGTGTTGTTGGATTTTATACTCTTTGGTGATTCTCGTTACCTGAATTTATGTGTCTCACTGCTCTTCTGTATAGATCATAGCTTCTTCGGGTCGGAGTGGCAGAAGCGATGGTGTGTTGTCAGCAGAGGCCTCTTCTACTACTACGCTAATGAGAAAAGTAAGTGTTCTTCATTTGCACAGCAGCCTCTCACTCCTGGATACAAGCACTTGGTAAATTCTCAGGCACTTAGATCTGTAGATAGCAGTCCTTAACTAACACCCATAGAGCGGCAGCATGCTTGGGAAAAAAATAGGCTTGGGTAACTAATACCTCGCCGCCCACTGCCAAAAAAATAGGCCAATATATGGAAGAGATATCTTCTATACTGAATGGTTACATGACATTATCAAAGTTGAATGTTTTGGCATTCTTAAAAAAGAAATTTTTAAAAAAGGCTGGGGAGATGGCTTCAGAGGGCAAAACACTTGCCACGCAAGCATGAGGACTTGAGTTCAAATCCCCAGAATGCACATAAAGCTGGAGGTGGTAAGGTAGGTCTGTAATCCCAGTGCTGCTATAGTGAAGTGGGAGGCAGAGACAGGAGAATCCCCAGCAGTGTGAGGCCCAGCCAGCCTGGCAGACACGGCATTGAACAAGAGACCCTGTCTCAAACAAGGTGGAAGGCAAGGACCAACCACAGAGGCTTTCCACTAACCTCTACATGTGCACACACACAACAGAGAGAGAGAGAGAGAGAGAGAGAGAGAGAGAGAGAAATTGATTTAAAATAAAAAACTTTAAGGTGTCAGGCATGGTAGCACACCCTGTAATCCCAGCACTTAGAAGGTAAGAGGATAACAAGTTCAAGGTCAAACTAACTACTACATAGTGAGACTGTCTCAAAAGTCAAGAACTGACAGGTGTGGTGGACGCCTTTAATGCCATGGGACACTCAGGAGGCAAAGGCAGGTGGAGTTACACAGAAAGTACCAGGTCATTTAGGGCTACATAATAAGACCCTGCCTAAAAACAATTTTTTTTTTAAAATAAGGCCAGGAACTAGGGGTGTAGCTCCATACAGAGCATTTGCCTAGCACGCACAAGAACTTGGATTCAATTCCCAGTACCACAACAAAATAATTTAAATAAAATAATAATAATAATAACAATAATAATAATAATTCTGAGAAAGATAGAAGCAGTGTTAACAACCACCTAGAAATAGAACTTAGGGTTCAGACTCTTTTTTTTTTTTTTTATTCTTTTTGAGGCAGGGTCTCCCTGTAGCCCCAGCAGGCCTAGAGCTCACTATGTAGACCAGGCTGACCTTGAACTCACAGAGCTCCACCTGCCTCTGCCTCCCAAGCACTGGGTTTAAAGATATGTGCCACCACACCTGGCGGTTCAGACTCTCTAAGAATATGTTCCAGCTTTGAGGATGACAGTTGGGAAATAGTCCAGTGGACATCCCTAGAGCCATGATATGGAGAATAATCAAATGCCAGTCCAGTGACTTTTGGACTTCTGGCACCTTTGGTAGTAAGGCAGCAGAAAGAGCCGCAGTTTTGCTAAGTGACCCAGAATCCTTAGGCTTTGCCCTTGGCTTTGTGGGCTCTGCCTCACTCTAGCGCTCTGCCTGCAGCAAATGTCAGTGACCTTCAGCTTCTGTTTACCATCTTAGATTCCTCTGAACCTTTACCCCTATTCCTCTGAACCTTTACCATCTAGGGGTAAAGTATCAATCCCTACTTGGAGCTGATAGCAGCATGCTTGAAAACTGAACAGCAGATATTCTGCATCCTTCGAACCCCCAGCTCACTTGAATTCTAGGCCTACACTGGGCCTACACTGGGGATGTAGCTCAGTTGCCAGGTGCTTGCCTAGCATGCAGGAAAATACAGATTTGAGCCTCAGCACTGCACAAAACGGTGTGCACCTGTAATTTCAGAACTTGGGAAGATCAGGTGTTCAAGGCCAGCCTGGGCTACATGAGACACTGTCTCTAAAAATAAAAAAATTCTAGACCTACAAGCCAACCAAACATTCTATTCTTCAAGTTAATGTGATTTTCTGGGCATGGTGTTGCATACCTTTAATTCCAGCATTCAGGAGGCAGAGGCAGGTAGATCTCTGTGAGATTGAGGCCAAGCTAGTTTACATAGAGAATTCTAGGCCAAATGGGGCTTCAGGGAGACCCTGTCTGAAAAAGACAAATGAGAGAGAGAGAGAGAGAGAGAGAGAGAGAGAGAGAGAGACTGAGACTAATTTAGACCATTGTAAAAAAAAATGTTTATCATTTCCTTTGCATTTAAATACTTAGTTGGAGGGGACTGGAGAGATGACTCAGCAGATAAGAGCACTGACTGCTCTTGCAAAGGATCTGGGTTTAGTTCCCAGCACCCACATGGCAACTAAGAACTGTTCATAACTCCAGTTCCAGGGGATCTGATGCCCTCTTCTAACCTCCACAAGCACTGTATGACATGGGTGTACTTACATATATGCAGGTAATACACTCATACACATAAAATAAAAATAATGCCAGGTGTGGTGGTGCACACCTTTAATCCCAGCACTTGGGAGGCAGAGGCAGGTGGATCTCTGTGAGTTTGAGGCCAGCCTGGTCTACATAGTGAGTTCCTGGACAGCTGGGGCTACAGGGAGACCCTGTCTCAAAAAAGACCAAAATAATAATAATAATAACAAATATTTTAAAATACATACATACATGGTTGGCATGTCTGGATAGAAAGTCAGGTATCATGTCTGTTCATTTAGGACTCAGGTCTTACGGTGAAAGAAAAGTGGGAGGGAGAGCAAGAGCAAGAGGCTCAGAGACTTTTATTGACCATTTTGCCGTCAGGGTGAAATGAAATCTGGCGACCAAAGAAACAACAAAGCATTTTAGTGGCCAGTTAGAACAAGGAGAGATACTTTAACAAAAAAGATTCTAGTGTCAGAAAGCACTGTTGCATGGCTCCCTTCTCGACAGTTACTTCTTATTGTGCCCAGGGCATTTTCTTAGTGGGTATAGTGCTGTGTGTTTCTTTCAGCTCAACCAGATGAAGACAGAACCTTGTTTCCTCTCTTCTTTTAAATCCTGTCCTTCCTTCACCATCAGAATCATCCAAAGGCATTTGAGGTCATGGGTTCAATCCTCAGTACTGAAGGAGTTAGGGGGAAGCATCTACTCAGCAATTCATTCCATGTGACACAGCACAAGCATCACCCGATCCTGCAGTTGCTGTCTGCATGTTCCGTCTCTCAGGTCCCTTTCTTTTTTATCGTCTTCATCATCTAATGATATCAACACCACTCTGCTGTATCCCGATTTGACTTCTTGGAAGAGGAGAAAATACTGAGTTTTAGTTATTCTTCCTCTGGCATAAACTCCCACCTACCCAAAAGTGGGGTGCGGGGAGCATGTGAAGCCAAAATACACATAGGGAATGGAGAGGAGATGCTGGGACTTTATGATACCCCCCTGTGCTGCTTGTCCTTCTCTTTGAATGTGAGCTCTGCTGATCCTCATAATAACATTTCGGCTCTGTAATTGCCTTCAAGAGCCTCACATTTCCAGGCACTCTCCCTACTGTAGTAATTCCTGCTTTCTGTTATTATAGATCTCTTAACATTCTAATAAATTCTCTGTCTCTGCTGTACTCTTTTGGTAAAATAACCATTCATGGAGCATTTCCCTCACTTGCGGGTGATATCTGCCTGGACCTTGCTAACCTTTTCCCAAGCTTCTCAATAACCTTTCTTTGACTATTGTGGTTCCTTGGGGATGTCACGGCTGTTTGGGGCTTTTATTTTACAAAGCAGAGAAGATGTCTTCCCTTGGGAGTTGTGTCTCTCTAGGATACAGGGAGCTTTCCTGTCTTATAGGCAAACAACCCAAAGGAACCTTCCTCATTAAGGGCTACAGTGTCCGGATGGCCCCGCACCTGCGAAAAGACTCCAAGAAAGAATCCTGCTTTGAACTGACCTCCCAGGATAAGCGCAGCTATGAGGTAGGGTGGCTAGAGGGGCTGGTGATTCTCCTTAGCGCTGCACTGTCCTTCCCTGTTGCCTGTGAGCCACGGTTGCTCTGCTGGGTACAACCCTGCTCCTGCTCCTTCCTGACCAGCTAAGACTCTCACTCTTGCTGGGTTCTTTGCTGTGTCATGCCCTCCCTTCTCCATTGCTCATCCTAGAAACAACCTGTGCTTGGCTTTCATCTCCTCATCCCTCCCCTTCCCAGTCTCATCCCATAGATGAGAACTTGTCTATTGCTACTCACAATCCAGTTCCTTACTCAGTCTCTGATTTCCTACCTGCAATTCCCAGCCTCTTCATTTTTCAACTGTTCATCTTTCTGTCCATGAAGTTCACAGAAAGAAACATCTAAGTATAGAGTGGAAAATAACTTGTTTTCCCATGTTTGTCTTGCTGCCAAAAACCCCCTTGGTGGGTGTATCTGTCCATCTCTGGAAGGACGTCTTCTGATTGACGACAGTGGTCTCTGAGGAGAAATAATGAAAACTAAGGGGCTACATGACTCCATCAGCACAAGAAAGGCTGATTTTTCGCTGTGCTCACTTTTATATATTTTGAATCTTTACCTCATACATTCACTACCCATTTTTTAAATTTATTAAAAAATGTCTGTGGGAATACAGTGATATTCACCAAATATGGATTTTTACATATTATCTGCTAGATATAGATAAACCTTATTTTATCACAATTTCACTAACTGAACTTTTGCTAACTTGTGAAAAAGAAAAAACTTGCTAAGATTAAATTAACAACTTAAAGAACCCTTTGACTCTTCAAATTTTCCCCAACAATAAGCTTTTTATGTTTCTATTGTGTCTTGACCCTTAATTTGATAAAATGGCCTAGGTCTTCATTATACAATGTCCAGATTTTTAAAACTGAAACTGAAACTTCTCTATAGGGTCCTTTGTAAACACTATGTAACAGATGTTGTAACAGATGTGTACACTCAGCATGTTTCTAAGATTTTTATTATTAAATTTTGATGGTACTACATTCAGATAAAAGTTTATGTAAAAAGTCCAAACCAGTATCCCTAGAAACATTTTATAGAAATGTGTTTTTAAAAACTATGACCGTAGCTGGAGAGATGGTTCAGCAGTTTAGAGCACTGACTGCTCTTGCAGAGGACCCGGGTTTGATTCCCAGCACCTACATGGCAGCTGCGAACCGTCCCTTAACTCCAGTTCCAGGGGAATCCAAAGCCCTCTTCTGACCTCTGCGGCATTGCATGACACGGGTGCACTCACATACATGCAGGCGATACACTCATACACACTCACTTATATGCAGGCAATACACTCATACACATAAAATAAAAATAATAAAAATTTTTAAAGAAATTATGAATGGGCTGGAGAGGTGATTCAGATGACTCAGTGGTTGCTGCACAACCATGAGGACCTGAGTTCAAATCCAACACCCATGTAACAAGCCAGGCATGGTCTCATGCTATAAGTAGTAGAGACAGGATTGCTGGGCATTGTTGGGTACCAACCTAGCCAAAATGGGAGCCTTAGGTTCAGGGAGAGACCCTGTCTTGTAGACTAAGGCTGAAAGTGATAGAGGAAGACACCCAACACCCTCCTCTAGCCTCTGTGTGCACACACAGGGCACATGCATCCACACATGCGTGCATACCCCCCCCCACACACACACACACGCTGAATACAAAGGAACTAAGAAAGATAATGATAAAGCATGAACCTGTATTTAGGTACAGCATGTATCTTTATCTTGCCCTAATGGTCATATAATTAAAATGTTGTTTTTTTTTTTCATTTCAAGTTGGTTCATTTAAAAAAAATTACAAAGGATTGATGCTTGACTGGTCTGGGTTGAAAATCAGATTGTAGTTTATTTACTACTTTTTTCTTTGGCCCGTTGAATCCAAATCATTACTCTGGTCTCTAGATTCTTCTTCCACGATGTCCTTGGTATGTCCCCTTCCTATTTATTCCCACAGCCATTATAATAGCTAAATCCCAATCAGTATACCCAGAGGACTAAACTACCTTCTAATAGGTCTTCGATCTCCAGATATCCCTATTCCAATCCTTCCTATCCACAGCTGTTGAAAGACTCACCCATGTCCTTTGCTAGAATTGATAGTGGCCTCCTATTGCCTACGTTTAAAGTCTGAACTAGCAGCCAGAGCCCTTTGATCACCTCCTCTGACCCTCAGCTTGCCATCTGAACCTGTTCTCGGTCAACCTGACCCACTTGTAGTCCATATAGGTGATGTTCTTCCTGCCATTCTGCTTGTGGTTCCCATAGCTGAAATGTCCAGCTCCCTCCATCAGTGTCCACCAGCTCTTTCTAAAATTCAAACTAAAACAATATTACTTAGGTAGGCCTCCTGACCTACTCGAGGCAACAATAAGTTCTCCCTGCCTCGTCTCAACATCCTATTGTGGGCCGGGGGTCTACTTTAGTGGTAGAATGTTTACTTAGCATGTGCCAGGCCATGGAGCTGGAGAGATGTCTTCCCAGTTAAAAGCACTGACTGCTCTTCCAGAGGACCCAGGTTCAGTTCCCAGCACCCACATGACTGTTAACAACCAAACATAACTCCAGTTCCTGGGTATCTGCGCTCTCTTCTGACCTCAGTGAGCATTTCACAACATGGGTGCACTTCATGCAGGCAAAACACTCATACACACAAAAAAAAATTAATTATTTATTTTTTAAAGAGAACTTGCTCCTGTAGAGGACCCAGGTTCAGTTCCTGGCACCTACATGGCAGCTCACAACCATCTGTAATGCCAGTCCCAGGGGTTTCAGCACCCCATTCTGGCCTCCTCAGGCACTGCACAGATGTTGTGTGCATACATACACGCAGGCAAACACTCATGCAAATAAAATAAAAACAAATTTTGTTTTTAATCCCATTCTGTCAAGTTCACCTCCTTTGTATTTTGTAGTGTGCCCATCTGTGTACATGTTGGTTTTCTTTTTTCCCATTAACTTTTATTAAATAAATTCCTGATGAAGAAGTAATCAAACAAGTGGTTACACATGGACACAAATATCTGGACTTTAAGAGCTATCATCTCTGGGTAGGTAAAACTGCTGAAGGAAAAATCAGTTGAGTGTGAGTCTCTCCCTCCCCTCGTGGGCCATTGGCCACTGATCCACGAGGACAAAGGGAGCAGAAGCGACAGGGTCAGGATGGCCAGTGAGCACGACAGAAAAGACCTTCAGGGAGTCAGATTCAGTGATACAGCTCCGTTTATTCAGTGGGGGTCAGGAAAAATACAGTGTGGAGGCAGCAGCCAAAGCTTCAGCTGATAGGTCCTCATAGTATGCTTTATTTACATGTGGTAGGGATCCTATCATCCAGCTATAGGGCAATGCCTAATTATCATATAGAAAAAACCTGGGGCAGTTTTATTGCAGGTAACTATGCCAAAGGTCATGTTCCAAATATGGTCAGGCATCCGTGCTTGGTGGCACTTTCCAGGTAAGTCAGGCAGAGAATAGGAGGCCCCCACTGAGAAAGGGAGTCCTTCCATATAGCGCCGAGCCCCTTAGAGCTATCCGGACATGGAGGACTACAACCTTAGCAGCAGGGACAGTTGAGTGAGATATTTTATTTTTTTCTGAATATTAAGCAGATAGAAAAACCTGGACTCCAAACTTGACTCTGAAACTTGGATTCTTCCCTTGAGTCTATCAGGATTCATGGAAATTTTGGTGACAGTAATAGATAAATTAATTACCTCATTTTTCTCTAGTTTACAGCTCCTAGTCCAGCTGAAGCCAGAGACTGGGTGGATCAAATAAGTTTCTTGCTAAAGGGTAAGTGTCATGATTTCAGAAATACATGATCCATGAGTGGATTTTCAGTTAAAGTTATGTCTCATAAGTATAAGCTAAAGGTTGCCACATGTGATTTTTCTGACCCTCTGCTATCTCCCACCCCATATTTCCCTTATTATAACAATACATGTGCCATATGTGAGAAGGTAAGGCAGTCATCCACCTGGAGATGACCTCTGAAGTCATAGTTCATCCACCAACATCATGTAGGCAAGTCTATAATAGGCATATAATCAGTCAGAAAAGAGATTCTCAAAACCAGTTTAATTCATTGTCTTCCGGCCCCTTTTATCCTGGAAAGAAAATGCATGATACTCATCATCTAACTGAGATCCAAAATCTTCTTCCTCCTCTTCCTCCTCCCTTTTTTATTTTGTTGGTGGTGGTGGTGATACTCTTGGAAGTAGAGCACTAAGCTCATCTAATTGGCAGTCAGAGATACCAGACATTAAAAACAAACTGCTGTTTCCCAAGCCACGGTAAAATGCCCCTTGCCTTGGGATGGGAAGAATCCTGCCTGAAGATGTTTAATGACTGCTCTTAGAGTACCCTCTGCTGGCCAGCCGGTAGGCACAACACAAGAGTCGCAGTGCCCAGGAAGCCTTGCTTGAGAGTGGCCTGGTGGGTAGACTTGACCTCACTGAAAGGAAGGGACACCAACTTTGTACATGACCCAAGACACCAGGAGAGACATATCAACCTAAAAAATACCAAGCTTTCTCATCACAGTTTATTATTCTGCACTAAGGTTTTATTGTAGATAAATAGAAAGAAGCACCCGAGCCTTAATTACAAGAATTGCCTATTTTACTCAGTCATGCCTTGGCTATCACAGAAACAAGCAATCATATCCACCAAAAGTATCACATATAATAGACTGGAACTAGGCAGACATGAACATTGATGGTGGGACTACAGGGTACACTCTCGTCTAGGTGCCTAGGATTTATGCGTGTAATATACCCCTAAGTGTGTAAACCTCAATAAAACTCAAAGCAGCTTTATTGAGCTGTACCCTGTGGTACTTTCAGAATCCCACATTGAAGAAATTATTCATTCCGTTTTATTTTAAAACAAACAAAATAATAACATATGGTTTAAGCCACAAATGTGCCTTTGATCCTTTCCTCATATGAAGTTGCACCAGAATTCAGATGAAAATTGCTGAAAAATCTTTATTAAAAGCCTAATCAAGCCAAACAGTTTTATTGTGTTTTGAAACAAATGTCTATGTCTCGCCATCCTTCCCTTCCCTTCCCCAGAGTGCGCTCAGTGTGCTCACCGGTCCTGCAGAGGCCCCTCAGCAGGGTTTCCGAGAGCACATCAGAGAATGAGCTTCCAGCTCCCCATCAGAATAGAAACCAATCTTCCTCCCTGCCCTGGAGCTCCCAGTGCTGAAATGGCTGAGCATCCTCTACTCAGTGACCCACTTTAAGGTCAGCCCGACTGTACAGTTGTGAAAGGCCATGGCAGCCGCGTCGTTTAGCCATTCCATTTGGTCCTGCATCGCTGCCGTGTTTTTCCACACCCCATTTCTTTTCTTCTGTTGCTTTTTCCCATTTTATTCCCCTCTACAAACAAATTTATCTGAAATTCTACAGCAAGACCAGCAGGGAGATAGGCTTCTGAGAGCTGAGATTCCACCAGCTACCCTGGCTCTGTCACCCTAGAGCACTTCAGGCCATCACTCATCGGTCCAGTTTTCTGCTCGACGAACAGTGCGTGGCACCCTGGCATTGTCTTGTCTGGCCTACCCTCTTCCCTTCGCCTTGTGCTCCCTTTCACACGCCCATACTTTTCAGGGCTGCTTCATCCTGATCAAGTTTTATTGCAAGGAAGGATTTATGTTGGTGGTTTAAACCTGATGCAGTGCTGGTCTGGCCTTTTCTGTAGCTTTCCTGCCACCAAGACGTGCATTAGAAATAACAGCACTTAACCTAGTGTTTCATTTCCTTTTGACAGCTTTTATTCTCATCCCCTCCTCTTTCACCCACCTTTATTCCCAGCCTCATTCTCTTTTCTTTGTTTATTCTTATCTTTGCCCTGGCAGATCTGAGCTCCTTAACCATTCCCTGTGAAGAGGAAGAGGAGGAGGAGGAACAAGAAGAAGAGAAAGAAGAGGAAGAGATGTACGATGATATTGATGGTTTTGACTCCCCGAAGTCTGGGTCCCAGTGCAGACCCATGGTCTTGCCTGGGGGCCTGGCAATGACAGAGCCTGCAGAGAAAGAAGAGGACATTTATGAAGTTCTACCAGGTGAAAATTTTCATCTTCTAATTATTTCCCCTAGTTTCAGAAACTCTCGGCCTGATGGAAGAGCATCACTCTAAAACCTCCAAAGGAATCCAGATCTAAGCTTCATCTTCTGAAGGAGACAATGTAGGAAAGTTTTTGGTTTCCAGTACAGAGGCCCTGCTTTGCTCTGAGAGCAAGATGCAGCCAACCAAGGACAATCTTTCATCTGTGCCACATGTGCCAACAAGATTAAAGGGTTAAGAATACTCATGCTGGTTTTCACTGGTTTACCATGAGTTTGGGGGTGAGCTCTCAAAACTCTCTAGCTGCAACTTATTTTCTGTGGCATCGTAAGAATGACAGAAAGTTGCCTCAAAGATATGAAGGCTTTCAAAAGTCTGAAGTATATAAATGCTGACAAACCTTTTTAGTGGTACAGTGAAACCCTGACACAGCGTTACTTGTTATTACCTAGAATCAAATCTCATCTCCTAAGAATAACCCTGCCATGCTTCCCCTCTGCCCACCGTTACAGCAGCTTGGCTCTCTAGACCCCTCTCCTTCAGAAGGCAGACTCACTAGCGGCTCATAAAACGCACAGTCATCACTGCTTCCACAGAGCCACTCCTGGTGGGGATACAGCAGCTGGTGAACAGTGCCGAGCACAGTGGGGGTCAGACTGGAAAACCGAAGCCTGAGCCTTTTAATTGTGAGGTAGTTAGACCACGGGAACACTGAATCTTCAAGTCCATTCAGAAAGCGCTCCTGTGGAAATTTGCCAGGAGTTTAGTGCTCTGCTAAGAAATTCAAATTAAGCCAAAATTTATAGCAATTTAAACCTCCATCCCAGATTAACCTAGGAATGAAGGTAAATCTAACACTCAGGCCTCTGAAGACAGGGCCTACTGTTAAAAGCATCATGAATAACCACATTTCAAGGCTTCCTAAGAAGGGGGTCCATGGGGACTGGCGAGATGGCTCAGCAGTTAAGAGCACTGGCTGCCCTTGCAGAGGACCCAGGTTCAATTCCCAGCACCCACATGGTGGCTAACAACTGTCCATAATTCCAGTTCCAGGGGAATCCATGGCTTCTTCTGACTTTCACATGCATTGCACAACATCAGGTGCACTTACACACAGGCAGGCAAAACACTCATACACATAAAATAGGAAGAATAAATACAATTTTTTTTAAAAAAAAGAAGAGGGTCTACCCTCTCAACTCTGCATTCCCTGTTTGTCTCTTCCCTGGAAGAGAAGCCATGCCACAGCTCCCTGAGTCAAGGAGGGTTGTGTCCACACATCCCCACCAAGGAGAGCTGTTTCTCCTAGTTCCTCCAGCCTCTGCCAGTCCCCACTTCCCTGGCCCTTTTTTGTTGTTGTGTTTTATTATGCAAATGATATCTTGGTTGAGGTCGAGCCATTTCTTGTGTCTGAAGTTAAAAAAAAATGATAATTTCCTCAGCAAGTCATCGTCGTTAATGAAGTTTTACAAAAACAGATACAACCAAAGGAAAATAAAATTTCACAGGTGATAAATTTTTCCAATTTCCCTGGCAGAATTCGATAGGATTGTTAAATTAAGAGTGAAGGTGTCTGTTAGAAAGCAACGAGCAGTGATGGGTAATTTTATAGAGTGGAAAATTGAATCAAATTGCTACATTAAAACACAGCTCCTCTGAGAATCTTCCCTTTCACAGCCTGCTCCATTGCAACAGCAGGGTGCAGAAATGGATCTAATTCACCACACTCCCTAAAAGGAGATGCACTCCCCAACTTGGCCAGAATCTTCCTAGTGAGCTCACATTCTGCTCACTGCCCAGGTTTAAGGCATACCCAGGTGATGGTCCACATTGGGGTACAGCTGTGGAAGGTGCTCTGGGAAAACCTCCCTGAACCACTAGGCCTTCTGAGGCACAAAGAAAAGGCCTTTCAGTGCATGATGTGTAGTTGAGAAGTCAGGGAAGACGAGGCTGATGCTCAGAGACAGAGTAAAGGAAATAGGATGAGTTGGAGGCCATCCCCTCACTCCGGGTGGGGACAATGTTTCACTGGCTTCTTAAAGACCATGTTCCTCCTGCATCCTGCCTCCTGCAACTGCTCAGAATTCCTCCAGACTTCCTACTGTTTATATATAGGAGTTGACCCAAGGGCATAGAGATCAGTGTGACTTCTCAAACAAGGCACTAACCCTATGCCCACAACTCCTATCCACAGAAAGTGAGGGAACCACACAATAGGAAAGCCGGGATCTCTTTCCTCAGGTTATAGAGATAGCAGCTACCCTGCCTGTGCTTCCAAAGAACAGAAGCCATTGTCCACCACAGTTCTTACAGACAGCATTGAAGAGGGCCATATATAAGCACTTCATTATCATGTGATTACTTCAACCACATATCTCCATCAGCCAGCTTCTGGTCCACTCTGCTCTTGCTGCTTCTGAGATTGTTGCTTGAATTTTATATGTGCCCCACCATCAGGCCTGTAGGGATTGAAAAGGAATGTGAAGGGCCTAATACTGCCTCCTCAGCCCCCTCAGCTGCTGTCTCACAGGACCAACTGCTGAGCAAGAGCATGTGAGCAACAGCTAGATAAGACAGGTACAAAGCTGGCTGTAAGTCAGGATGGTTCTACTGTACCTCCTGCTGGCTATGAGGCCTTGAGCAATTGTCTGACTGTCCACTTGTAAAATGGGAAAAGCAATAGTAGCTTCCTAGAGGGATCTGGGGAGAAGTCTGGAAATGATATGCATAAAGTACCGAGCATAGAGTGCTGGCATGCAGCAAGCACTCAGTCTTTGATGGCTAGTTTCAACCTGGTGGTTTCTAAATAGAAAGTATTCCATCCTCCAAGAGTTGGAGGTATGGCTAGGTCCCCGCCCTCACCAGCCAGACCTAAGACAGTCCAGTTGGGCATTTGCAGCTATGGGTATGAAGCAGGTAAAATTGAAAAGCCTGAACAGATGGAATGTGGAGCACACCTTCTGCTCAGGCCCTTTTTACTAAGAGGCCAGGTGCTGGGTGGAGAGACAGCTCACAGTAAACTTTGGATTGTGCTAACATTGCATACCCATCAATAGCCAAATAGCTCAAACCTCTAACATTTGTTTTGTTATAACCAGTAAACAGTTCTGTGAAGGATATTTAGCACCAAAGGGTCCGCTGAGCCTCCTCTTTGGGATGGGGACTACGCAAGTCCTCACTGTCTCTATGGAGAGAACGGTGTATGTGAGGCCTTTCCTCCTAAGGGTAATTTAGATGGGCTTCCTAGTAGAAAAGAGCATGCAACACATACCAAGTCAATAAATTTTTTTCCTAATCAAAATAATGTATGAATCATCAAATTAAATGCACTATATCATATTAATCATTTGCTACGTGGGTAGCAGTCTTGTCCCCAGAAGGGAAAAACAGAGCACTCAAGGTTTTCAGCCAGACCACAAAAATGTTAGTCCTGGAATATATGGTTTCAAAGTTGGTATCCATTGGGATTTCTGAACATTCATGTTTGTGGTAGATTAAACTGCAGAGAACTGCCGTGAAGAAATACTAAAGCCGTATTAGTATAGGAGGCTCTAGGGCTAGAGCGATGGCTCAGTGGTGAAGAGTGCTTGCTACTCTTCCAGAGTAACAGAGTTCGGTTCTCAGCACCCATGTCAGGCAGCTCACAACTGCCTGTACTCCAGCTCCAGGGGATCCGATGCCCTCTTCTGGCTTCCACAGGCACCCACCCACACATGGCATACACTCACACAGACACCCAGACATACACATTAAAAAAAAAAAAAAAAAAAAAAAAAAAAACTTTAAAAAGGTTTTTATAAACCCTTGTTCCTCTTCCCTGAACTTATTCTGCAGGCTAGCACAGACTCAGATCTATGATTCAAGTTTCCATATAAGAACTTTTGTCAGGTCCCCCTTTGTCTGAGGCCTCAAGACAAGAAACCAGGAGGGCATCTGAGACCATTAAGAGCTGTAACTAGAGTCTTGTAGCAGTTATAATGGCAGCAAAATCCAGCTGTGTTCTGCAGAGACTTGAGAAGAGCAAATGGAAAGGGATGAGGGCTTTCTGAGAGTGTCTGTGCACATTCTGAAGCTGCCCACACTGCCCCAGGGGGTTATTATAGACCCAGAATCCAGATTGCTTTATAATAAGGCATATAACTGGTTTTTTTAAATTAGAATCCAATGGAAACAACATTCTGTGGGATTATCTTTCCCCTATCCAGTTGTCTGGACACACAGGAAGAGAGAGAGGTGACAGTAAGAAAAAAACAAGCCCAGGCCCCAAACACAAGACGTGTGAAGAGTCAACTCTGTCCCCAGCCTCCAGCCTCCTAGCTTTTTCTCTCTCACGCGCTCTCTTACACCCTGAGCAACAGCCATGTGGTGCTGCTGCTTGGCCAGCACCAGCTGGAACCATGTTGTTTCTTCTACCTAACCTGTCCCCCCAATCTCTGCCAATGAAATCCTGTACACTCTGCTCAAATGGGTCCTCCTTAGTGACACACTCCCAAATATTCCGCTGAAATTAAGCTCTGTCTCTGATCATGCAGATTTGTGCCTTTCTCCCCAATTAGTAGATGCTCAGTCATGATTTGTCAAATTAAATTCTGTGTATTCCAAGTATTAAAACTGAGTTTAGTATCTTATATATCAGTATCGAACCTTGGAGATAGGATGGAAGTACTGAGGTGTGACAGTTGAGATTACCCAAATGCACAACAGAGAAAAAACGTGTTCTTAGCCGCTTGCTTGTATTTTCTGTGTTGTCTAAGGATCTGTAGCATCTCTGTGCATACCATGGAGCAGTTCATTTCTTTTTTTCTGAATGTTCCCTTTGCACTCAAGTCCCTCTATTTCTGTTGCACCTGTCACCAGAACACCTTGACATCTGGTTGCACACTGATACAGTTGGCATATTTTAAAAGCTTTTGTCAGTTTGCTTTGTTTGGGGAGAATGATCTTCTGTCTTTTTGATACAGTCATCTTTTTCCCTGTTATTCTTTCTGCTGTCAGTGTGGCCACTGGCAGGGGTGGGTGCCAAAGCAGCACTTCAGAAAAGAGCCAGGTATCAGAAGAGGCTAGCTCCTCTCTGTCCCTCCTAGGTGGTTTCAGTGTCCTGTTCTTCTCAGCCTCTCATTAGTGTCCCTGACATAGTGCCAAGAATGTTGATTGAAATCGACTCTCCAGATACTGATGCTCATTTGTGATGCCCCATGGCTCTCTCACATGCTTACACAGTTAACAGAATCTTCTTCAACTGTTTTCCCAATTGAGATGAGATATTTGGGAATCAAGTAGAGCATTTAATGTAATAAGTGGGCAGTAATCTTCAGAGGTTAATTTGTTTAAAGACTATGTAAGATTGGGGTCCCATATGCCCTGTTAGGAGCAAGGACCATTATAATCTATTACTATTTAAAGTTGAACTCACACATAAATTTTAATTCTCTCTTAAATGAAGATGTATTTCCATAGATGTTATACTAAAATGCCTAATAATATTCTTATAAAGAAGTTCAATGAGCTCTTTGACCTAAAAAATATTTTTCAAAATGGTCTTTTAAAATTAAAATATCTGGTCAGTGAGGTGGCTCAGTGGGTAAAGATGCTTTTCACCAAGTCCAACAACCTGAGTTCAATCTCTAGAACCTACATGGTAGGAGAGACTCCTACAAGTTGTCCTCTGACCTAACACCATTTCTGCATACACACACACACACACACACACACACACACACACAAATGTTTTTTAAAATGATTAAAAACTAAATAAAAATAAAACCTCCTTGTACAGAGTAACAAAGATTTTAGCTACCTTCCCACCCCCCTTTTCATTCAAAAGATCTTCTTTTCAGTTGTTAAGCAAACATCTTTTTTTTTTTTTTTTTTTTTTTTTTTTTTTTTTTGTCTTTTTGAGGCAGGGTCTCCTTGGAGCCCCAGCTGGCCTAGAACTCACTATGTAGACCAGGCTGGCCTCAGGCTCACAGTGATCTGCCTGCCTCTGCCTCCTGAGTGTTGGGATTAAAGATGTGCACCACCACGCCTAGCTACAAACATCTTGACTTGATCCCTTGAAAGATCCCAGTTTGGTTTCACAGAGGGTTTGAGATAAACTGTATGCTTGTCTGTACCAAACCCTCTGAAGACAGGAAGGTGCCAAAAGTTGTGCTCTTTCCAACCAACTGTGGAAGGGCTTTCCTGCAGTAGGTGACAGAGCCCCATCCTTGGGCTTTCAAAGGCTCCTGGGCACAGCCCCAGGTCCATCATCAAAAAGGCTTAACTGGAGCCCACTTTCAGCCGCCTGAGAAGGGCAGTGCAGACAGAACAGACCTGGGGCCTGGGAGCCTCCACACACATCACAGCAGAGCACAACAGTGACGAGTAGCATGAGCTCAATGGCTGGCGTTTCTCTTTCTTTCTAAGTGACTCCAAAGGCACAATGAAAATCAGGGTGTCTGGTCTGGAAGTGAACCACACAGATGGATTTCTATTTTTTCCATTTTTTTTGTATCATGACTAGATTAGGTGCTGCTGCCTGAAAGGATAGAAAAATCAAGTTTTAAGCTCTCATTTTTATCATTGCAAATACATTTACATTCTCTTTTTTTTACAAATGCAAAGAGCAGGCAAGCCACTTTCAATAATTTATTTTAAAATCAATGCTAATGAGGTTATGTCTCGTCAGTGGCCGAGTTTTACAATAAAGTCTGATTTATTTAGAAAAGATCTTCGGTGTAGCTTCCCATCTAATGGTAGTGGGAAGGAGGTAGAGAAGCAGGCACGGTGACCCTCCAACTTCGGATCCAATTTGTAATTCACAGCGGAGATCTGACCCAATTTACATTGATTAGAATTGGGAGGAAGAGACAGCTGCGCACGGCCAACAGAGGTAGAATAAACCGTCTCTGTAAAGTGCCTAAGCACAGCAAATTATTCGGCCTTGTGATTGAGCTGCTTGATGTCAGTAAAAGAGCTGCTCTCTGTCCAAATTATCAGGTATCCCTACAATGAGGATGTACCAACTTACGTTCTAATATTTTCAATCCTGTAAAATTAGCCCGACGTCCAAAAGAAGCATTGTAGCGGAGGAAGGAAGTGGACAGTGATGGGAAGACAATGCGGAAAGAATGATGTTTAATGTGATTTATTTTGGCATGATCTGTTTCCTCCATTTGATCTCACTCCATTATCTCACATCTTTGTTTCTCACTGTGGGTTGGGGAGCACTACAGGTGGTAAGGAGGAAAATTTCTGCTGACAAACCATACATAGAGATAAGAATCATTCAACCAAAGTGCTCCTTTCCCCAAAGCATCCTGTTGAGCTACATATAGATTTTTAATCTTGGTAGCAGGTGAGTTACTTCTCCAGAATTTCAATCTCTTAATTTTTATTTTTGCAAGGAATGGTATCATTTTTCTAACATGAAACCAGGTGCTTTAATGCTCTATAGTAGTCTTAATATGTTTTTTGTTGTTACTTCTTATCTTTGAGCTTAGAATTTGCTTCCCCAAATCTAATGTTTTAAAGGTTAGAGGGAGAATATTTCCAGATCATCTCCTCGAATATTCCGTTTAGTGGCATAATTGTGAATAAGCAAGGCAAATAAAATCTAGAAAGATAAAGTAAATATGCCCAGGAGAAGCTAAGAAATCAGCCCTTAGAACATCACTTACTATGCCCTATCCCTGTGTGTGTGTGTGTGTGTGTGTGTGTGTATGAAAGAGAGAGAGAGGAAGAGGGAGAGGGAGAGAGAGAGAGAGAGAGAGAGAGAGAGAAGACAGAGCAGTTGGCAAAAACAATAACCAGCATATTTTGCCCCATATATGTTTACATATTATAATATACAATTATTAAATGTGATTCCAGTACACATGCTTTCTTTATAAAGGCAAAAATTTTTTACCAAGTAGTGTGAAGCCAGAAATGAAACAGGTTAATGAGGGTAAGAAACTTAGGCCAATCACGTTGTGACTTTGACCGTATAAACACTTGACTGGAGTTAGACACTAGCACTGACTTAGAACCCATTGTGAATCTACAGCAATTAATTAAAAGACCATTCCAACTGCCCTCAGGAGCTTATACTCTAATGAACAAGGCAGGCTGAATAAAAACAGTAAAAAGATAACTATAAGCCCCAAGTACTAGGAACATAAAATTATGTACATGACCAGCCTCTGCTACAGCCGAACAGAAATGGATGTGTTAAGGACTAATTAATCACAGAGGGTTTAAAACCTACTTCCAATCACACACACACACACATACACATAGTCATTCACTCAAATCCTGACTCTGGGGTGACTAAAACTAGAGAAGATGCCTGCATGTAGCTAATAAGTACAGGAGAGAATTGCACACACAAAAAAGGAGAACTAGGGATTGAAGAAAAGAATTAGGATTCTAGTGATTAGCCCCACAGTGATCCAGTGGATTAGAAGCTCTACCAGGGCAGGGACTCTGACAGTCTTGTCCATTGCTTGTCCCCAATTCCTAGAGCAGTATCTTGTGTATAGTATGCTCTTCAAAGTGTTTAAGAATGAATGAATAAGGAAGAGAAGAAGGAGGCCAGTTGGAAGCTGAGAGATGATGGGGGACAGGGGGGAGAAAAACACAGCAATTAAACTTTCCTTAAAGAGGAGTGCCCCAGCTAGACATGATGGCACATGTCTGTACTCCCAGCACTTGAGAGGCTAAGGTAGGGGGATCAAAGAGTTCCAGTCTAGCCTGGGCTGCATAGCAAGCCTCTGCCTTGAAACACGAGAAAAAGTGGGGAGGTGTTCAGGGAGCCCAAGGAAAGGTGACCTCTCTCAGAATAAAGACCATGAGGACTGTCCCCCACTGATTGCTAATGCTGGTCATTTGTCCCCTCAGATGAAGAGCATGATCTAGAAGAGGATGCGCATGGCACTCAACGAGGAGGTATGAGACAAAGTTGTACAATGCTGGGTGGGACATTGGGCTTCTAGCTTGAGAAAGCGCTACCATTACTGGACTTATTAATGAATAGGGTCCTGGTGTATGACACCAAAAGCCCCAAATAAAGTGACTGGCTAGAGAAGTACCTTAACTTTAAAAGCAGCCATCCGATCATTTTAACTGATGTCCTAGGACAGCCAAGATTTATCTTCAGAAGGTAGGAAGCCAAAGCAGATATTTATTCTTTCCTATCAGTATTTCTTAAATCAGAGCCGTTAAAATAGAATTGCCTCATCTCTGAGAGATCGGAGGATTGAGAATGGAAAGAATGGAAATGTCTCCTCTCTGAGAGGCCCAGAGATTGCAAGTTCAGAGGGGAATGGAAATGTGTCAGATCTGAAAAGTGAACCTGGGGTGAAGGATAGACTTGCTGGGTGATGCTGACTTCTGATGGCCTGGTTTGATTCCAGGCACATTTGGAAATGAATATGTAACAGGTTTGTTGAATACAAAATCACATCTTATTCATCCCAGACTGTTAGCCATGCTTCAGGCTGTTAGTGAGCCCATCCCTCCTAAGGTCAGATGCCCCTCAGAGCCTCCTTAAGTGGACCAAGGATGTCTTCCTTCATTGTCAAAAAAGGACTGCCACACATTGCTGGGGCCACGTCAAGGACATTCATTCCATCAGCAGAGCCAGAATTGGGACTGATTTAGACACAGGTAGATTGTTTTTTTCCTTAGAGTCTGTGAAAATCTGAAGCTTGGGAGTTCTTTCTCGCTTTTCCTCCCTTCCCTCTCTCCCTCTGCTTCTCTGTCCTTTCCCTCATTCTCTTGTCTCTACTTTCCTTTTGTCTTCTCATTCTTAGCCATTCAACAAAGCCCTTTTTCCTCTCTCAATCTCTGCAAGAAATAAATCTGTGTGCATGCGCATGCATGTGTGCATTATGCACGTGGGCACGCATGTGGCATGGCATGCATGAGGAGGTCAGCAGACAACCTGAGGTGTTGGTCCTCACCTTCCATCCACTTTGTGTGATGCAGGCAAGGTCTCTGTTGTTTGCTACTGCCCTGTGTACACCAGGCTTTGCTGGCCCATGAGCTTCGAGTCTCCTGTCCATCTCCCGTCTTGCCCTAGGAGGACTTGGATTACAGATGTGCACTACCATATCTGGCTTTTAGATGGATTCTGGGGATTCAAACTCCGGCCCTCACTTTCAGGTCAAGTGCTTTTACCCACTGAGAGCTCTCCTCAGTCCCTGCAGGAAGCGAATCTTAACCGTTTAGTGAAGGACCCAGGTTTGCAGGGCTCCAACTTCTCACCCAAGGAAGAGGAAGGACAGCAGCATCAGAGGTCATGGTGCCACGGCAGAAGAGAAGCAAGTGGGATGAGTAAGATTGGAGGATGTTAGGGGTTTGAGTACCTCCTGATGAATAATAACACATGGAATTAGGTCTTCTCTGAAACCTAATTTTTTTCTTTTTTTGTTTTTTGTTTTTTGTTTTTTTGAGACAGGGTCTCCCTGTAGCCTCAGCTGGCCTGGAACTCACTATGTGGACCAGGCTGGCCTTGAACTCACAGAGATCCACCTGCCTCCACCTCCCAAGTCCTGGAATTAAAGGCGTGTGCCACCATGGCCAGCTCTGAGACCTAATTTCTATTGTGTTCTCCTTGCTGTGCAGAATCCCAACAGAAAAAGGTGTTTTGACCAATCACATCCCAGATAAGTCTTTTCTCAACTGACTTCTATCACCAGCATAGGAAGGATGGGTACCTTGGTGGGATAAGTGCAAGCTTCCTATGGCAACATTGTATTAAACTCCATTCAGAAAGTGTCAGTCTAATACTGTGTCAGATTCCTTCCTCACTGCCTTTCCTCCTTCTGCCAAGCTCTCTCTTAAGGTTCTGTCTGGGATGTGAGAGGAGAGTTACTTCTTAACTGTCCCAACAGGTATAATTCAACTAGGTTTTTCTTTTTGTTTTTGTTTCTGTTATTTTTTTTAAAAAAGCCTTTTGTTTTTCATGCTTCCTGCCTCCAAAAGAGGTATTGTAAACATATGATTATCTCTAAATATGTTTCTATGGCTTATACTCCCCACCAGTTATAATGATTGGTGACTCAGTGATTAAAAAACAGGAGGACTTTTCGCTCTCTCTGCAGAATCTGAGGCAGGAATTTTTATTATTTGTGTTTACTTATTTATTTATTGAATTTATACAGTGCCCTTTTTTTTCAAAGGAGCTATGGAAACTGCAACAAATATGTAACAGCCCAATGTTATCACTTAGTATTATAATAACAAAATATAGAGGTCTGGGGGAAAGGCAGGCAGCCTCAGTGAAGGCAGTTAGTTAAAAGACTGGGACAGCGAAAACTCAGCCTTAGGTAAACTCCGTAAGTTTGCTTCATTTAGCTTTTCTCAGGTGTTACATGTTTTGGAGGAAAAGCCATTTTAATAAACTGTCCTTTTCTTTCTTCCTTTTCACCTAAGATACTAAAGCTACCAGTGGCCATGGACTCTGTCTTCCACTACCCTCCAGAGCCTGTCCTTGAATGCTGTGCCTCTCTCTGACAGAATTGCTAACATTTTTAAGACCCAGCTAGATCTTATCAGAGAAGGGAGGGAGGAAAGGAATTCAGTTATCCTTATTGAGTGTTAATGATCCTGTAAAATGCAATTTCTTTTATTTTATTCTGTTACCTAGAAAATCTATCACAGCCTTGTAGTATTGATTGTTCAATCTATAAAGAGCATCCACTTACAGCATGACTGCTAGTAACAGGGTTATTTTAATGAGTGGCTCTTCAACACCTCAACCTTTCTCTAAATTCCAACCCATCAGCTCCACAGTGGAGCTAACACTTAGGGTGTTTAGCGATAAAATCATATTTCCCTTCCTTATCATGAGAAGGTAACATTCAGGTAGCCAAAAATAAGACTCACTCTGTGCTGTTTGTATGAAAATTACCTTCCATTTGCTTGGGTGTGCCATGCTGTGGAGACACAAACATCCTTGAATACATCAAATCACTGACCAAAGAAGATCGTGGAATATTCTCTCTCTCTCTCTCTCTCTCTCTCTCTCTCTCTCTCTCTCAAATTGTGCGCAAACCAGGCCAAAGGAAAGAGAGACCATACTATTGTGGTCTTATTAAGCATCCAGTAATTTCAGGAGGGCCCCCAAAATGGTCCTCATAAGCATTCCATCTTGGAGACCTTCTGAGGGCCCACTGTGGTGCCCACCAACGGAGATCTGCTACAGCAAAGAAAAGGCAGGGTGGGAGGCATGAGGCACTCTCTGGAAGCTCTTCCTCTTTGATTTCCTGAGACAAACTAACTATGCTAAAATTTTGACTCAATAAAAACCAGGGCTCACACCTTTAATCCCAGCACTTGGGAGGCAGAGGTAGGCAGATCTCTGTGAGTTCAAGGCCAGCCTGGTCTACATAGTGAGTTCCAGGACAGCTGAGGCTACAGGGAGACCCTGTCTCAAAAAGACAACAACAACAACAAAAAAAAAGGGCCTGTGATTGTCTGCCGTATATAAATCATACTCGCAAAATTAAGGGTCGTGGTAATTTCATGACTCGAGATGCAACTAGCTTGACCATAATAAACAAATAGTATTGAAAATTAGTAAAATGTACTCTTCCTACCCTAGGGTCACAGTCAATGGAACCTGGTTAATATTTTCCAAAGTCATTAATAAAGTAAACAGAGCATCTGCTTTGAATGTACTAAACATGCTGGCCCTTCCTGTCTTGGCCTAGAAAGCATGTCCAAGTAGCTTCTAGCAAGCTGCTGCTTATTGGGTTTGGGTCCAGCTCTTGCTGCACTGTACTCTGGTAGGGTGGTTTTCATCTGTCTTCTAGGTTTTGTCTCTTGTCCCAAATTTAAATGACTGTGCCCCATTCACACAGCCCCTTTACTCATTAAGAAAATTCCAGCACCCACATGGCAGCTAACAACTGTCCTTAACTCCAGTTCCAGGGGATCTAATGCCCTCTTCTGACCTCCGTGGGCATTGCATTACATGGGTACAACACATACATGCAGGCAATACACACACATTAAAAAATCAAAATAGTAAATTTAAAAAGAATTTTTTAAAATAAAATGTGAACAAAGGCAGGGCATGGTGGCGCGTGCCTTTAGTCCCAGCATTGCGAGGTAGAGGCAGGCAAATCTCTGTGAGTTCAAGACCAGCCTGGTCTACATAGTGAGTTTCAGGCCAGCTGGGGCTACAGGGAGACCCTGTCTCAAAAAGACAAAAAAAAAGGCACATGCCTGTAGTCCCAGCACTTGGGAGGCAAAGGCAGGCGGATCTCTGTGAGTTCGAGGCCAGCCTGGTCTGCATAGTGAGTTCCAGAACAGCTGGGGCTACAGGGAGACCCTGTCTCAAAAAGACAAAAAAAGAAGAAGGAGAAGGAGAAGGAGAAGGAGAAAAGAAAACGTAAATAGCATGATGAGCTACCTTTAGCCTCTTTTCCCTGGTCACAGTTAGGATTCTGAAGCTACTCAGTGCCCCCAAACAAAAACTGAACTCCGGAAGGAACAGTCAATTTCAGTTGTCCCTGAAGAGAAGGGGAGATAGGTGTCCCTGCTTTTACCTTAGTGCCTTCCACATCTTAGGGACTAATTTTCATTGATTCTGTCAACAGTAGCACCAGCTTAGACTCGAATATTGGAGAAATGACTATCAGTGGTTACAGAGAACTTGGCGTGGAATGACAAATGTTTTGCAGTAACTACCTGGAAAAGAGAAAAACAATACTATTTTTTTGAAACCTTGGTTGCTACTGTGACATTTTGCTTGCCTGAAGCTTAGATGCTCCCCCCTCCCCGTTTTCTCTAGAAAAACTCCTTCTCAGCTCTACTAGCAATTTAAATGCAGTGATCATACCCATTAGCTTCTCTATCATTGTAATTGTTGTTAATTGCTATAACTGTTTTAGTTATTAGTGTTGTCATTATTACTCTAGGTTCTCTGTCTGTTTTATGCTGAATATATTAGAGCTTTGCTTTTGAATTACCAGGCTTTATTTAGTGCAGTTACTTTTTGTTCTGTTTTGTTTTGTTTTGGAGAGACATTGAGAAATGCTGGCATTAAGCTTTATTCTTTTGTTTTTCATTCCAAATGGACAGACTGGAAAAAAAATAATTAGATAGAATAATGTCCTCAAAATGGGAATGAGGATGTTTCAAATTAATTAAATGGTCAAAATACTGCACCATTTCTGATCTTCGACGGCTTGCCTGAGTCGTATAAACCTGAAGTAACCTAAATCCAGCCCAGAGAGGCAAGTTTTCACTGCTCTATAGAAACCAATGTCTGTACACATTCTCCTGTTTAAGGATGAACAAGGCTGGTTTAGGGAAAAGCCAAGCTCACCCTGCAGACTTTTAGACTTTCTGGCCCCCTTCCTAGAGCCAAGCTTTAGGAATGACACCCTGCTCAGGCTCACCTCTGAGCAATTTCAAAGTCTTTAAGTAACACTCGCCAAGTCAGTTGCTTTTTGTGGGTGGAGGGCTTGAGACAGGGTCTCCCTGAAGCCCCAGCTAGCCTGGAACTTACTATGTAGACCAGGCTGACCTCAAACTTACAGAGATCCGCCTGCCTCTGCCTCCCGAGTACTGAAATTAAAGGTGTGCACCACCACACCTGGCCTCCAAGTCAGATTTTTATAGACACCTGAAGCTTCAAAGAACCCTTCCCTGACCCCTAAGACTATTCTAAATTCCTCTCATGGAAGATATCCTCAACTCCACAGTTATATCACAGTCATAAATAGGGTAGCCTTGAAAGGAAGGGTGTGTGTGTGTGTGTGTGTGTGTGTGTGTGTGTGTGTGTGTGTCCAGTGTAGAATTTCTAGTGTCCAGCTAATACAGTCCCTTGTATTTAGTAGGTGCTGTGCACAGGCCTGACAGATGTCAAAGAATGAATTTATGAAGCTGCCTGTACACATACACATAAATACAAATAACATGTGTGTTAAACAAGGGTTGTACAATATGGAGTTGAACTAGGCTGTCTCCTGTAGAAAGCTCCTGTTTTTCCTCCATGAACCCCTATGAATGAGTTCTCTCTCTCTCTTTCTCTCTCTCTCTCTCTCTCTCTCTTGTTTTGCATATTCCCTCCTTTCTCAGCAGCTCTGGGCTGGGGCCTGTCTTCCTTCCCCCTGGGCTTTCCCCACCAAGAAGCTTACACTCCAAATTTCCCCACTATCCTTTTTTCTCTTCTTTCCGTGTGTGTGTGTGTGTGTGTGTGTGTGTGTGTGTGTGTGTGTGTGTGTGTGTGTGTTTTGAGACAGGGCCTTACTGTGCAGCCCAGGCTGACCTCAAACACGAGGCAATCCTCCTGCCTCAGCCTTCTGATTGCTGGGATTACATGTATGCACCAGTGTGCCTAGTTTCTATTGCACTGTAGCAGAGATCTGTTCCTCACATCCCGTATACCTATTATCAAATCTTAGTCTGAATCTTGCATATACCCAAAAGGTGCCCATCATCTTAGGAGTTCTCTCCTATCTGGGCACACAGTGGAAAGCAGAAACTCAACATGACAGGGCTAGAAAGTTCGCCAAGTAACTTTGTCAGTCTTCCTCCTGATGGTTCAGAAATACCAAATTAGGTTTTAAAATCCATTTCTAGCATCTGTAAATCCTTGAAGAATATTGATATCAATAGTCTTCTCATTCCTAACTTTAGTCAAAATCTTAGGGTGATTTATCAACTGCATTACAACTGAGTGTACATAATAGATCCCCTGGGAAAACTGCTGTCACTTTGCAAGGGTTGATATTTCTCTATAATTTCATGCGCTGATATCCCCAAAAATATATTGTCTTTTCAACAGTTAGCATTTTTCTCCCACTGCATTTTTCTTTCAGATGTATTCATAAGTCTGAAGCAGAATGTTTTGACTGTAGTTATTTCGTTTGCTGCCCTCTGTTGTCTACTGCAGAGACAAACAATCCTCTGTGTAAAGAAAGCATAGCTCAGTTTCTGTGTGGCTGACATTTTTTGGTTTGCAATATTGACACTTAGCTAAGTAGTTCTATCCCTCTGCTTTTCTGTACTTTATGCTACCTACTAAGATTCTTTCCTAAAGACATATAGAGATCTGTTTTACTGTGCCTTTAGTATTTGAATTATTCATAAGTTAGGAACAAATAGGAAGAAGAAAAAAAAAGCAAATACAACCAGATCCTCTGTGCCACCACTGAACACTTGCTCCCTGTCCCCATCTTGAGTAACCAGTACTATCTCTGTTCATGGGAGGGTCCAAACAAATGAGGACAAGGTGGGAGTTGGCAGAATAGCATTCCCAAATCACAGTTTGGTTTTCAACAACACAGTGTCTCATAGTGAAACCCAGGCTGGCCTGGAATTCGTGATCCTCCTGCCTCAGCCTTCTAAGTGCTGAGATTACAGGCATGTACTGTCAGACCCAGCTACAGGTCACACATGCTTTAACTATAACACAGGATTCCTAACTCCCATCAATCAAATTTCACCTTTGGCAGGTGATTGGATTCCAGCTTTCTTACAGAGCATCATCCTAAGGAGCAGGCAGTATTCCTGGTCTGGTGGGCATTAGCTCTCCTGCCATTCAAATCCCCAGATCTTCTCCCACTTTGCACGCTAGTGTTTAACCTTTCCGAGTAGAAGAGGATCAATACAAATTCTTCATTGTTAAGAATCGATGGCTGTCCCATGGCATTGTTGCCATCTAGTCTTGCAGAGAAGCCCAGTAAATCTCCCCAGTGCTTCTAAAGCTTGGTTTGTTGTCTTCAGTTGCTTTCATTTTTAATGCAGATCACTTTGGTTTCTGTTCCCCTGGGGGCTTGCAGATAAATCTTGGCAGACGTGTTCAGTGTCTACAAATGAGATGCTGGAAAAGGGCCAGCCCACCCAGAATTTAGTTGTAATGGATGAGACACCCCCATGGTTCCACTTAAAGACTGGGCTATTCGTTTCAATATTTATTGGTGATTACCTCATACAGTACCTGGGCGGGAAGTGCCCAGGATGAAACTCCTGTGTTAACAGGAGAGGCTAAAATGTGAGCTGTGATGTAGAAGACTCCTGGCTGACTCAGCCTCTCTTTTAAATATGCAGAAGGATGCATTCCTTCCAATGCATAATGAAAAGAAGCACTAGGGTATTAGATGCCCAGATCAAGAAAGTCTAGTGGGAAACTTCTTTGTGCTGCTTATTTACAAACCAACTGAGAAATGATGTGCCTGGTTTTCTTCTAAATCTATTGCCATATTATTGAATAGAATCCTACAAGGGGTGATCTGTAAATATTTAATGTTAGTCAATGATCTCCTTCTCCCATAATCCTTTGCTTATGTTGAGTGTTTGTCATCCAGACCCCCTGAATCTTAGGTTCCCTAGAAGCCATATCAGAAGGCTGGTTTCCATTTGCATCAAAAATGTGGCTCCTTGGAAAAGATAGAATCCTTTTAACTTTACTTTCTCTTCTCTTTGATCAGTGGACTATGCCAATTATTACCAGGGCCTATGGGATTGCCATGGTGACCAGCCAGATGAACTGTCCTTCCAACGGGGTGACCTCATTCGCATTCTGAGCAAGGTAAGGAGGTAGAATGTGGAGCTTGGTTCCAAAGTCTATTTTTTCACTCTTGTTAGTGTAGTTACCATAACCAGGATTATTCTGTCTTGTAACACCTCTCTCTGCATAATTACATGGCTCCCTCACACACAGAACAAAATTCCCTTTAATTTATCATTGTTAGGGAAGTTTTTCATTAAAAACTTGGGCTCAAGAATCTATTTTCACATTTAGAAATACAGTAACATAACTTTAAATATATAATGAAGTATATATAATACTAAAATTATGTCAATCAAAATTTGATGTTTTCCAAGGACTTGGGAGACATAAAGGCCATACTGTGTACATAATTTATTACCACATAGTACTATTGAAAACATTCTGGTTAGGTAAGCTGCCTTCTTATTTCATCTATAGATAAAGGAGACTATAATATAATTACCTATGGGAGGAGGAGTCAGAGCTCATTAGTTCAATTGGTTTGAGCAAATGCTGATAAGGCTAAGCTACTAAATCCAGTCCCACACAGGCCAGCTAACTTTATTCTCTTCCTCAAGCATAAGTCAATCCCTAGACTCAGCTGACCATCCCACAAATGCTACTGTTGATCATAAAAGAACAGAGATTTTTTAAAAGTCTGTTGTTTTGACAATATATCACTGATATAAAAAAATCTCCTGGGGGCGAGAGAGATGGCTCAGTAGTTAAGAGCACTGGCTGCTCTTGCAGAGGACCCAGGTTCGATTCCCAGCACCCACATGACAGCTAACAACTGTTCATAACTCCAGTTCTAGGGGAATCCAATACCCTCTTCTGACCTCCATGGGCATTGCACAACCTCGGTGCACTAACACACATGCAGGCAATATACTCATAAACATTAATAATAATAATAATATAAGAATCTTCTGGACTCATGGGCTACAATTTGAGGCAGTCACTGAGCATCACCCTTGTAAAGACAGACCATACATGTTTTATAGGCAGACTAAGATAATAGGTTCTATTCCTAAAAGAACTTATCATAAAAGATCTCTCTCTGTGTAGCTAATCAATACCTACGAACATATGTTTAAAATAATCACAATTTGCTCTTTAATTGCTGAGTTATTTATTATTTATTGTGTTATTTATGCTGATATTCTATTTATGCTGTTTATTCTATGAATGTTACAACTTAAGTCAAGAGTATATTTTGGTTTGAAATATGCTGTAAAGCTCCTGAAGAAACAAACCCAGGGGTCATCTAAATGACTCAGAGAATAAAGACACTTGCTACCAAGGCTGATGATCTGAGTTCAATCCCAGGGACCTACAGGGTAGAAGAAGAGAATGGACTCACAAAAGTTGTCCTCTGACCTCCACACACACTGTGGCACATACACACAAATAGAATAAATAAATAAATAAATAAATAAATAAATAAATAAATAAATAAAATCTTAAATATAATATAAAAGAAAAAAATAACCTAGACCAAATCGACCTCCAGGTATCTTTCAGTGGCTCCAATCAATCAGGCTCCTTTAAACAAGCACTAAATTCAGACCTAGCCCTTTACAGGAGGGTGGGAGCTCTGTAGGTCCTGCTGAGTGAGATCACAATGTTCTAGTGATTTCTCCTGGAACTCTAACTCAGCGCCACCCTTGCGCCATTTCGGTGCAGCTCCAATACACCAAGAATAAATTGGAAGCAAAGAAGGGAGTGGACATTGGCCTGATTGGTATTTCAAATGCCCGAAAGCAAGGTTTGCCGTGTAATAGAATTTGTGTACATTACTGTGCTGGCATTATGGGGTAATCGAGTTATTCACTCAGGTGTGACCAGGCCTCTGTTTGCCCAGAGCCTGCAGGTGAACAAATTAACTGTTTACATTGTCTGGAGGAGCCTGCAGCAGGAGGGGGACAGCCCAGCCAGACTGTCTGTCTGCTGGCCTTCTCTTTCTGTCAGGATTATTTTGTTTGTTTTACATGTCTTTTGCCTTTGTTAATGGCTTCTCACCGGGGGGTCCCTTTCCTCCAGTTACAAGGGGCTGTGCAGTGACCTGTCCTGCAATATGGAGTGGTGTGTGGTTACCATGGCTATGGTATTTCTAAAGAGATTCCAAGGAACAAGTCTTTTAAAATCAACCTCTTTTCCCCACCCTTACCCCCATCATTACTACATGCTAATGTATCAGAGTTTAACTTGATGAAAATGCCTTACTTCCCTAATTCAATCAGGTTCTGTCTCCACTCTTCCAGAAGTTTCTAAATGCATTAGTATTTCTGCCCCCAAAGCTGTACCAGGTACCTCCCTTGTGTTGCTAACACCTGCAAATCAGAGGAGGAAGTAAGAATTTGGCAGTGGCTGAGGGATGGACCCTTATAAAGCTTTCTTCCAGTATCGTCGCCGGCTTGGGGAGCATCTCGGATTGGATTTGCCTTGATTCTATTACCTAACTCAATCAGAGTCCTCGTATGGGAAAGAACCTTGAAAGACCTCACTATCAATTTGTTTGCCTCTAAAAAGCACAAATGAACCAATTCCTACCTATAGAAAAGGGGATTCAGCTCCTTCTAGAAATACAGCCATTCCCTGCTCCCTGGAATTCTCTCTCATATTCTCCCCACTTTAATCCCAGCTGGCTTCCTTTGTTGGAACTGGCCTGCCTCTCACACACCTGGAGAGAGAACAGCTCACAAAAAAGTTGAGTTTAGTCCAAAACAATGGTGTCTGGTCCCTCTGGTCAGTAGCACCTTCAAAAAAAGCATCTATCTAGAAACCATGCCAGTGATTGTTTCCTTGAGAGATGCAGGATGCCTCTGTATAACTCAGCTCAGCTCACCTGTACAATGAGGGAGCTTGCTAGAGAACATCTGTTTCTTCCACCCTAGACATTCCCATTCTAAATACAGTGGGCCTGATGTTGCAAAATTGCTCAGAACTCCCACACGGAACTGTGTCTTAGCTTTAATCACTTGCTCCATTTAAGCAACAACAAACATTCCAAATACCAGCTGTTTTGTCTTCAGTCCTCATAGATGCAGCTGGTTTATCCCCTTTAAGAAAAGTTTTGAGGTGCTGGGAATCAAACCCAGGGCCTTGTGCATGCTAGGCAAACACGCTACTCCTACTCCGAAGTTAAATCCCCAGCCCCTTAATAAAAGAAATGTGAGGAGAGTGGGCTAAAGGAAGGAGGCCTCAGACTGGGGAAGAGGGTAAGAGGAAGATGTTAGCTTTTAGTCCTGGCTCCTGCTGCTCCATGCTGTTTGGGGGTTTTTTTTTTTGTTTTTTCTTCTTTTTCCTTTTTTACTTTTTCTTTTTTTTTTTTGGTCTTTTTGAGACAGGGTCTCCCTCTAGCCCCAGTGGGCCTGGATTCCCTATGTAGACCAGGCTGGCCTCAAACTCCCAGAGATCAGCCTGCCTCTGCCTCCAAGTGCTGGGATTAAAGCGTGTGCCACCACACCCGGCTTTACTTTTTTTTTAATATTTTATTTATTATTTTTATTTTATGTATATGCGTATATTGCCTGCATGTAGGTAAGTGCATCTGTGTTGTGCAATGCCTGCGGAGGACAGAAGAGGCCATCGGATCCCCTGGAACTGAAGTTATGGACAATTGTTAGCTGCCATGTGGGTGCTGGGATTGGAACCCAGGTCTGCAAGAGCAGCCAGTGTTCTTAACCGCTGAGCCATCTCTCCAGCCCCCCTCCTTTTGTACTTTTATTATTTTATTTGTATGTGTGTGTGTATTTGTGTGACTACATAACTGAATGCCACATGTCTTGGTGCCTATGTAAGCCAGAAGAGGGGATTAGATCCCTTGGAGCTTGAGTTACAGGTAGTTGTGAATCACCTGACCTGAGTGCTGGGAGCTGAACTTGGGTCCTCTGGAAGAGCAGTAAGTGCTGGTAACCACTGAGCCATCTCTCCAGCCCCTCCCCACTGTTTCTTTTAAAATTATTTTGTTTATTTATTTATTTTATGTGTATTAGTGTTTGCCTGCATGTATGTAAGTGCACCACATGCATGCAATGCCTGCAAAGACCAGAAGAGGGCATCAGATCTCTTGGAACTAGAGTTAGGGATGATTGTTAGCTGCCATGTGGGTGCTAGGAACTGAACAGCCAGTGCTCTTAACTGCTGAGCCATCTCTCCTGCACCTCCTTTTGGTTTGGTTTTGGTTTTGGTTTTCTTGGTTTTGGTTTTTTTTTGTTTTGTTTTGTTTTTTTGGTTTTTGTTGTTGTTGTTGTTTTGAGATAGGGTCTCCCTGTAGCCCCAGCTTGGCCTGGAGCTCACTATATAGACCAGGCTGGCCTCAAACTCACAGAGATCCACCTGCCTCTGTTACATTTATTTTTTTAAATCTTTATTATTTTTTATTTTATGTGTATGAGTGTATTGCCTGCATGTAGGTAAATGCACCTGTGTCATGCAATGCCCTCGGATAACAGAAGAGGCTGTCGGATCCCCTGGAACTGGAGTTATGGACAGTTGTTAGCTGCCATGTGGGTGCTGGGATTCAAACCCAGTTCTTCTGCAAGAACAACTAGTGTTCTTAACCGCTGAGCCATCTCTCCAGCCCTAAATTTATTTTTTTTATGTGTATGAGTGTTATGCCTGCATGTATGTAAATGCACCTATGTCGTATAGTGCCTGTGGAGGCTAGAAGAGGGTGCTTGATCCCCTGAAACTGGAGTTACAAAGGGTTGTTAGCTGCCATGTGTGTGCTGAGATTTGAACCCAGGTCCTCAGCAAGAGCAGCCGGTGCTCTTAACCACTGAGTTATCTCTCCAGCACCTCCTTGCTGTTTTCTTAACAGACACCCTAGTGTGATCTACACCTGAATCCTAGAACCATAGGGCTAACCTGGGGGCAGGGGGAACCTTCAAGTTTTGACTTTGGATAGGAATGATTCCCAAATGAAAGATATGAATACTTTTGCTTAAAAAAATATTTCTGGGGGGCTGGAGAGATGGCTCAGCGGTTAAGAACACTGACTGTTCTTTCAGAAGATCCAGGTTCGAATCCCAGCA